CGAAACTCCAAATTCATGTATTGTAATATTTCAAAATTTATGCCAAAACGTCTAACCTTATCTAGAGAGATATTATGCTATTACTTAGCTAAACTTTAAAATAGAGGGCCATCTTAAAAACAGTTTTCAAGGAAATTTATCTTAACCATGTCCCAATAACACAGAATAGGAACAAACCTAATAATCTGTTTGGAGCACAGACAACTCCCCAAAACAGATATCTAACAAGTAAACAGAATGCCTAAAAAATAATTTTAGTAAGCCTTTACAAAAATCCTACTGTTTTCATAGAGAGACTCAAAAAAACAGTATAGCACCTTGGATTAATAGGTGGCCACCCATTTTCCAAAGATGAGTTTATCATCCAGTTAGCCTCAGACATTCCAAGGGATTTACAAAGGTTAGCATAGTCCTAACCAAGTTTGGATGTTACCCCATAGTTGAACAGAGACCAAAAATGAAGAAAAGGAAAGGTAAACATACAGACAGAAAGAGATTAAAATGCTAATCTTACCCCAAGAAAAATAAGCTTCTGGTTGAAAATTTTACTCCTAAGTTATAAACACATTTTGGAAGCCTCTAAACATTGAAACAGGGTATTACTTTGAGCCCCTGTCAACAGTTTGTCACTGAGGAAAATAACCCTGAAAATATTACCCCTAAAATATTAGACAGCCATAAATAAATCAGCTCAACAGCCGATAACTTATTTCAATAAGAAATTTAACATAATAGACCTTTTCTCAACTTTAATAATGTGAGATGATGCCCTACATACATTGATATTTTTGAAATTAGTAAAGCCATAAATTATACATAATTATTAAAGTTAGTTTTACTACATTAAGTTATTAAGGATACTCATACAACTGTTTCTTTATATATAAAGATTGTTTTGACATGGATCCCTCAAAATGTCCTTACTAACTCAATGTCATATAAAATTCTAAATTAGATCACTATCTTAAAAAATACTGTTGACTTATTCTTACCACTAATATTTGARATACTAATTCCCCAAAGTCAACATTGAGCTTGATAACAATAATAACAACTTTTCATAGATTGGTAAATAAAGGCTATTCATTTTTCTATTTCATTTTTTGTTAAYTGTAGAAAACAAAATGTCTTTCCTATGCTTATTAAACATGTATACTTTCTATTCTGGAAAGATGTCTCTACATACATATTTCTTATGCCCTTAGTAAAGGCCAGAGCTCCTAAATTAAGAACTCTGTCTCTTGCTTCTTTCCAAATTAAGATAATTACTTAAAATTCAACTAGAGCTAATTTCAAAATAAAAATTTTTATATATAACTTATTATATTCTTCATTATTGGTAATTCTGTTAAAATAAAAAATCAAGTCATACATTTAGTGAAGGCTAAGATTCTATTTAACATGGTCCCTTTCCAATTCATTAATGTTGAACTCAACTAACAAATGACTTGTCAAATTTCATGACCAACTAAAGATGGTAAATCTTTTTTTATTTTTTAAATAYTTGTACTATTGTCTATAACTCAAACTTGATCTCATGATCCTTGAAGTAACTACTTCAAATATTATTCATTGCTACTATGACTTATAGGCCTCTACTCAATTTTATTGAATAAATAAAGGAGGAAAACAGGACCCTATATGCACATACTAGATCTTACAAATATTTCAAAAATTTTTTTCTTAAATTGTAATATTGAGAGTCTTACTGTCACTGAATATGATTCGGTAAATTAAGTCAGATTTCATAGGAGTGTTTAAACCTGTCATTGTGAAAGTGACTGAAAAACCTGGCATAGGAAGGTAAATCTCCCAGCTATAGAGTTTACAGCCACGTAAACATCATGAGCTTGTCAGGTAAGTAAAAATTATGAAGAAATTCCTGTGGACCCATTTCTCAAGTCCAACTTTAATGTACATTACAATGTGGACTGGAAAATCCATCCATGTGACTAGATTAATTGTACTGACTATAATGGTCACTTATCTATATGTTGATCCTATGGTAAACAGGCTGTTTGGGAATATCTTTTGAGAAAAAGACAGCATATGAGAAACCTAAACCAGCCAATTATGCTGGTCCTTATAAATTAAAACTGTTTTTATATATCTGRACAATTGTCAAAATAGAAAGATTGTTMAAATAGAATTTTCCTATATACGCCAGTTATTTACAGACTGGTCTCCTAGAATTGACAAGGACAATTGCAGAAGCCTTAACCTTCAGTGAGATGGCATCCAAAAGGATGTCTGGTGCTTAACTTTTGTCTCCAGAACTTCTGCATTACTGACAGACCTAAGAGACTCCTTAAATGTGAAAATTAAGAGAAAGGATAATAAATATCCTGTAGCCTATAAAAAATGCAACTTGTCTAATTTTATCACTAGTTATAGTAGAGAAAAAGGACATTGATCCTTCATCAACATTCCTTTGTCCTATTGCCAGCTAGAATGCTAAAGTTAAGATTCAGGCTTGGAAACAGGTGCATACCATTAACCAGATCTAGGCAAGCTCTTGATCTCATGATCCTTGAAGTAACTACTTCAAATATTATTCATTGCTTCTACAATTACAGCCTTTATGGCTATGTTTTAAAACCTACAACATGTGAATTTTCTTAATAATTTGACTTAAATTACTTTCAAGATCCTTCATAGTCAGATAAGTGCTGACAGAAGGATTAGAACTAAGTTAAATGCTCTAAAAGCCACTGTAATGAATAATACAAATGAGCCCTCTGTTCTATGGTTTGAGGAAAGGCTTAAATGCCATCCCAATTAAATATGTCTGTGTTACTGTGGCCAAACACAATGCTTCCCAATAAAATTGGGAAAAGATTAAGAATATTCTGATGAGTGTTTGGCAGAGTAATAATAACAACCTGGATCTTTCAAAGTTAATTAAATGACTTTAATTAAAAAAAATGTTAAAACATTCTATATGATATGTTATTAGAATAATATGTGTTCTACTAATTCCTTTTGTGTCTCAATAGTAGGTCATGATGACCTTGGACCAAGAATCCAGTGACTGGAAGATATAATTCCCTAATTGCCTTTTTATATTAAGAAAGGGGGAATATGTCAGGAGCCACTCTGGAAATACAAGCCCTTAAGTCCTGAGCAAGAGATACTGAATTATTGCGCCTGGCAGTAACTCGGGCTTTACCTCCACTGGGTAATGAATGAGGTATGGCTCCAGGAGTAGGCGTTACCTGGTGGGGTTGAGTTACACTCACCTGTTCCTTTGTAATCCTACCCCTTGCCTCATTTGAATGGCCCCTCCCCAATAAACCTGGGTTCGAGGTGTGCTCTTTGTCTTTCTTGCCTGTCTTGCCTCCTTTGTGTGAGCTGGTTCAGAGGARCCATCATAGATCCCAAAGTAAAAGGTATCTCTCTGTCTCTGTGTGATTATTTCATGCCAGCCAGTTCACCTGGAGTGACCCTGAATGGTTTAGTTGTGTCTCATGACACCCCTTAATCACCAAATCACCTCCCAATATCACCACAATGGCAATCAAATCCAACATGGTTTCTGGTGTGCACAGGCAAACCATATTCAAACCATAACACTGTCTTTTTCACAAGTTGAAAAGTGGGTACTGTTGAGTATGGGAAGGGGGTGGGTACTGTTGGGTATGGGAAGGGGGCTCTCTGCTAAGATAACTGGAAAAAACTCATGGACAGGGGTCAAAATCTTGCTACCGTGGCTTGTGGAGAAGAAGGAATATTTTTTGGAGAATTGCACTGGCCATTTCTTCCTCTAAACCAATGTTTTTAAGCAACTATAGAAACAGTCTTGCCTTCAGCAGTGCTTTCTTTGGGCTCGGACCAATAACCAGGATATAAGTCCACAGCAGGGAGAAACAGAGGAGGCTGTAGTACATAAAGCATAGCTGCTCCCACCAGCCTGCAAAACAAAACAACTAAACAAGCAAATAGAAAAAAAAAATGTACCTCAGCAGCTCCAAGCACAGGACTTTTATCTCCTCTGGTTCAGAGAGTCTGGCTCTTCTAGTTGAATTTAGATTTTATTTAAATTGTATTTCTCCTTCTCTTTAGGCATCTGTTTCCTCCTGCTACTGGCCACAGTCTGAGAGTTGGGACTGGCAGCAGTGTTGGCTTTGGGCTTGGGACTGGTAAATATGCATTTTACTGCTGGGGTGGAGTGGCTCAGTGCTTGGTCACCTTGGAAGGATCACAGTAAGCCACTGTGCTGGGGTCCTGAGCCATGCATAGGTATTCATGCGTGCAAGGACATATTGTATAACCGTGCAATTGTCCAGGTGTGGTGGAGTTAACTTGTTAGATGTGCTCTTGTTTTTACTGCCTCTGCCAGGGGTGTACGTTTACTATGCTAGAAGCTGGGGCAGTTTGGCTTGATCGAGGGTAGTTTTTGGCTACGGCCACATTTGATACGTTTCGGTGCCATGAGTAGTTCAAACTATGTGAATTTCACAATGGGGCGGGTTCATCCAGATTCTTAATTGTCGGTGGTGTTCCCAGAGGTAATTCTTTGGCTTTCAGCTCTCCCTTGGAGGTAGGCATGAGGCCAGGGGCGGGGAAGGTGGTCGTGCAGAGGAAAAGGGGACTACGCAATCTGGAGAGGAAACTGGCCAATTTAAGACGTCCTGGATGCGACCCAGTAGCGGAGGCAACTAACTCCAGCAGGGCAAATGTGGGAGCCCCGCAAAACTCTTAATTCACGCAAGGAGAACGGCGAGGTGTGCGCGCAGACAACCAGACGCACGCTCGCGGCGCTTGCTGCCTTGACTTCCCCATCCTTGCGGGGGAGGGGCCGGAGTCGCAGCCGAGGCCGCAGAGCCGAGAAAGTGCGCGAAGGGGACGCGCTGCGAGCGCACACGTGACGGCGCGGCGCCGAGCCGAGCGGGACCCGGCGGCGGCGGCGGCGGCGGCAGCGGCGGGCGCAGCGGGGTGGCCCGGAGCGGCGCGGGCGGCCTGGAGCCCCGGGAGCGGCGCGCGCGGCCCCGGCCCCGGCCCAGCCGCTGTCCCGGCCTCGCGCTGCACATTCTCTCCTGGCGGCGGCGCCACCTGCAGTAGCGTTCGCCCGAACATGGCGACACGGAGCAGCAGGAGGGAGTCGCGACTCCCCTTCCTATTCACCCTGGTCGCGTTGCTGCCGCCCGGGGCTCTCTGCGAGGTTTGGACGCAGAGACTGCAAGGTGGCCGCGCGCCCTTGCCCCAGGACCGGGGTTTCCGCGTGGTGCAGGGCGACCCGCGCGAKCTGCGGCTGTGGGCGCGCGGGGATGCCAGGGGGGCGAGCCCCGCGGGCGAGAAGCCGCTCCGGACGCGACGGAGCGCTGCCCTGCAGCCTGAGCCCATCAAGGTGTACGGACAGGTGAGCAGTTTTGCAGCCCTCTTCCTTCCAGCTCTTTCCTCTCTCTGCACTTCCTCACCCCCACATCCATCCTTTGCAGTCGCCTCCCAGGTGCAGGCACTACTGGGGACTTCCCGGCTTGCATTTGTTTTTTTCCCCCTCATGTGAGTATAACCGTCAGCCCTTGAATCGCATTGATCTTTCTTCTTCTCGTCGATTTTAGCAAACGTATTCCAGGTAACTCTCTCGGGGTGCAGTGCACATTTCCCCAGGGTATGTGTAGACCGGTTTAGTTTCCGGCAGGTACAGGAGGGGTGCAGCTTCATTTTCACATCTGGATAAAAAACGGGCTTTCTTTAGTGTATTCTCAGTTGAAGGCGAGTACCCTGCAGTTGCAGTGCACTTAACACAGGGGCGGGCGGAGGGGGTTTCCACACTTAACCATCCTGAACCCCAGTGAAGGTGGGGAAAACTGAAATCTCAGCCCCTGTCCTTGTACAGTCAAAGAAGAGGGTGTGTGTGCGTGTGTATGCACACATGTGTGCACGCACGCAATGGCTGAATTTTTTGTTTATTTTTGTGGGGGTGTGAGGTTCGATCCATCCCCTGTTTCAAGATAAAGACTTTATTTTGGTCAGGAATATTCCTCATGGCACTTGGGAATTTCAAAAGACTGCAAGACATTTGGTGGGCATTATTATTCAGTAAGTGATATATTTCTATCCAGGCAATGGGTTTATTAGATCATAAGTAACATGAATTTCACTTTTGTGGCCAGACTTTTGGCTAGGAAATGCAAACCAAGTTTGTAGGTTAGTATCAGCACTGGCAAGATTAATTTGCCCATGTTATTGCCTCGTGAGACTCCCAGTTCTGCAGTGAAGGTCGGTGGGGGAGAAAAGGTGGGACCCATGGAGGTGGTAAACGTTCAGAGTCAAACTGTTCCCTTTTAAAGTGGAAATTAAAAGATTAGCCTGAGTTCTGTCTTTCTTCACTTATTTTGCCAAAGCCAGTTCCTCCTTCAGGAAATATGTAGAGTTAAATGTTCAACCCTTGGAGCCAGGAAGCACCTTATAAACCATGTCACCCTATTGTGTCTATTTCTTGGTGAAGAAACCCAAGTGCCAGAAGATGAAGTGACTAGTCCAAGGTCATTCCAGGAAGGGTTGCTTGCTCTTTTTTGTTTTTGTCTGCAGTTTCACTGATCTTTGGGTGCTGGGAGTCAACCTGTCTTTATACAGGGCTTCTTAAATAATTCCTTTCTAAAATCAGATGTATGTGGTTCTAAAGGGAGAGAGTGGTGGTGAGTGGGCAGAAGCATTTAATTTTCACCATCAGCTCCCGGACAGGAGGAGTGTGTGTCAGGGGTCTGTTGGAGCCCATCTGCTCCATTCCTCTTGGGCGCAGATCCTTGCCCCTCTTCTCACCCCCATCTGAAACTTGTATTTTGTATTGTTGGAAAGATGTCAGCAAGGTCCTTGCTTTCCACAGGGAGCTTGGGGCTGGTGAGTGAGTGTGAGTGTGTTTTGTGTGTGTGTGTGTGTGTGTGGGGTGGGTAGTGGGTAGGGATAGACACTCCCTTTTTCACTGAGTCTTCCCAACTGGCCCAGTTCTAGGGGCTTAGAGTGGGAGGGATGGTGGACAGTCCCTTCCAGAGCTCCATTCTCCTTAAGATGTAGTTTTGGTTGAAGGAGGAGCTTTCTGGTTTCAAAAATACGTAGGCAGGTACCATTTCTTCTTTGGGTTTGGTTTGTGAGTCTCCTGGGGATTTGAACCAGGTTAGAGATGAACTCTGTTTTCACTGGGAGTAACTCCCAAACTCTTGGCTTTTGTGTTTCTGGGCCGGCCGGACTGGGTTTAGTTCAGCTGAAGGAYGCAGAGCCATCAGGGGAGCTCAGTGAGGAATTCGCACCGAAGAGTGAATACCCAAGACAGTGTTTTTCCTGTTCTGTTGCTGCCTTCCTGTGCCCTTATTCTCTGTCACCTTGAGGTTCATGAAAAATGGCATTGACTTTACTCTTTAGTGATGTGAGTCAGATAGAAGGAAGAACTTCCCGGTATGGGCTTTCCGTCACAGGTCATATCTGTGTGGACCTTTCAGACTGCAAAATTGGAATCAGTGACTAAAGGGGTTTAGGGCTCTTTTGGGAGCTCCAGATTCACATCTATTTGTAATGGCCTTTCTAGCAAGGGGGAACATTTGCCTCTTTTTCCTGGGACAGACACAGTTATGAATAATATCCCTTTCACTCAAAAGTGTCAGGATGCAACTATAAATCATATGGTCATCCTCCTCTGGCCTCATGCCGAGTTCCACTTTATAATCCCCTTTCAAGTTTTAAACCTAAGCAACTGAAGTATTTTCTGTTAGTGTTGCTTGGAGTTTGGTTCTGTGAGGGTACAGATGAGATGAGTACAATTTTATCCCTGTTTTCTGGAAACTTACAGTGTTTTTTTTKTTTGTTTGTTTGTTTTGTTTACCGGGGATTGAACTCAGGGGCGCTTGACCCCTGAGCCACATCCCCAGCCCTAGTTTGTATTTTATTTAGAGACAAGGGTCTTACTGAGCTGCTTAGCACCTTGCTTTTGCTGAGGCTGGCTTTGAACTCACAATTTCCTGCCTCAGCCTCCTGAGCTGCTAGGATTATAGGCATGCACCACTGCAACCTGCAGGAAACTTTACAAAGTTAAACTTAGTTTAAGGAGGAGATAAAGCAGATGCAGATAGGGCAGGTAAATGTCCTGGAAGTGAACAAGTACACATGGACACACTAAATCAGCCCCACCTCCACTGTGATACATTAGTAGTCAGGGCTCAGAATGTTAAGGGGTGGGTGGGATCAGATGTGCAGCTCCTTGTCTTCTGATCTTGGTGAGGCTAAGGGAACACCATGAGCTGCAGGCAGAAGCTACTCAAAAGAAGAGGGCTGAGAGGTAATGGGAAGGCCACCCACCAGCTTCAGGGAGAAGAGAATGGAAGGCTTTTTCAGGAGAATATACGTGTCTGAGGAAGAGCCTGTGTTGGCATTGATGTTGGTCCCCCCCCCCCCCCACCCTGCTCATCAATGGAGTAAATTTAGCTTTGTTATTTTGTGCATATTTCTCCTTGGATTCTCTCGTGGGAGACTGGTTTTTGATGCCATTACTTAGAGGCATGTTTGTAATAATCAAAACCAATGTGCTGTCAAGTATTAGGACTTCTCTGCCCAAGTTCAAAAGTTTAGAAGATAAGCCTTTTGTTAAAAGGCCAAGTTCAAGAAGGGATACCATCCTTCTTGCCACATTGATTTCCTCCCATCCCATGCTTCTGTGCCATTATGCCTGCTTTGTCCTGTGCCTGAAAGTTCTTCCCCACTCTTGTCCTTGCTTGGAAAACACCTGTTTCATTCAAAAATATCCAAGGAATTCCTCTGGTTACTCCCAGGCTCCAGTGGGAGTCCTGTGTTGTAATTACCTAAGTGTCCCATCCCTCTGTGTGCTCCATAGGGCATAGAGTTAGCTTTTCCATGTTTCCCCAGCTGTGGGAATATCTGTGGACCAACTGCATACCTGGAAGAAGAGAGGCCTGGAGGGTGGGGCACACATTCAAGTCATATAAAAGGTATTTGTAAGGAGGACCATTGTGAACCCACAAATGAATAGTCAAAGTGCATTAGCTCAGCGGGTGGTGAGGAAGTAAATGGCATGGCCCTGGGGTCGTATAGCCCTGATTTTCCTGTGCTGTCTGGGAGGACTGTCATTGGTTTGTGCTAATGGCATTGTTTTGGGGGAAAAATCCTTTGGAACAAAGCACAAAACCTAACAGGATTTACAGGTTTATTTTGCTTCCAACGAGCTCTTACTTCATAATTTCTATATTTTACAGGACAGGGCATATTCAGTGTCCTGATTTGAGACTGAAAATAAGGTGTCTGTTACAGCACAAGGCCCTGGGACAAAGGATGTCCTTTGGGAGTGGTGTACTGCTTGGCTTTAGATCTCTTTTTGAGTAGATTGCATGACACACTGGCTCTGGAAAGAATTGGCTAGTTGATTCTGAAGTCAGGATGTTTGACCTGTGTGCTTCCAAATGAAGATGAGAAGGCAAAGTGTTTGCTGTTTTGAGTTGGCTTCTACCTCAGAGAAGACTTGCTTGGCTTCTTGGGTTGGCTCAGTAAGGGATGTGACCTTGAAAAACTTCCTGGTGGCACTTGGCATCTCTTATTGAATTCTATGCAGTCTCTGGCCACTGTTTTAGTTCATTTGGAGTTTGCCTGCCACGGGGTTGGAGGGTGGACGAGGCTTTGAAGGGTGAAAGTGGGCCAGGACAGGAGTGAGATTGAAAAAAAAGGGGTAAAATAAAAAAATTATCTAACTTGTTTATTTAACCTTCAACAGGTAATGTGTGTTTACAAAACCAATTTGTGCTAAGGAGTATGTAGTGACAAGTAAATTTCCTCCCATTTCCTGCCCTCATTCATCTCAGGCCCCTTCTCAGTTGGCAACCAATGTCATCAGGTTTTTGCATAACCTTCYAGAGTTATTCTATGGATATATAATACAGATGCATGTAAAATTACAAACTTGAATTACCAGTGGCTTTCTGTGACCTGTAATCCTGGCATCATGTGTAATGAGATTAACTTTAGTTGTAAAATATGTTTTGACACTATGACTGTGAATAGTCTGGGTGTTATCTGAAGACTCATAGCATAAAACAGACGGTTGGTTCTTCTCCAGGCCAGGTGAAAGAAAGTGTCTTTCCATTTCCCTTAGAGGGTTCCTGTGGGCCAGGGGAGCATCATTCTGGAGTCTTCTCCTAATTTGGAGAAATGTTGGCAAGCAGCTCTGTAGAATGTAGGGCCCAGGTTTGTGAGAATATCAGAATGTAGAGATCACAGATCTTGCTCTTAACTTGCGTTCTTTTCTAGAATGTTTTCATTATATTCTGTAAAATGAAGTTAATAGTATGCTTAATAAATTGCTTTGAGACCTGGGATCCATGAGGCAGATCCTAGCAGCAATGAACATCCCAAAGCAAA